AGCAAAGAGACAAACTGAAGAGGGACAGTATGACTCTTGACTCTTTTGTCTGCAGTTTCCCGTCTCAAGTATGAGACAGTTCTGTATCCAACCTCTGATGCATCACTGAATTGATGCAGTTGGAACGTAGCATCGATGGAATAGCCACCACGAAAATAACTCGAGGGATACTAACATGATTGAGCAGTGTCAAGTCCTCCCTCCACTTAATCCAGTCCTTCAACAGGTCTTCCAGTAACTTCTCATCCCAATGGAGCTTTAGCTGCCAAGTCTTCTGTAAGACTCTTTTCGCTGGCAACAGGACTGGCCCAATCATACCAAGAGGATCAAGAATAGAGCTCAATGTCGACAAACACCCTCTCCTTGTGTCATTCCTCAGTTGTCCTGATGACGGTAATGTCTTGACTCCAACCGTATCAGTAACAACATTCCATTATTGTCTGAGGACTCTCTCTATAGGAAGTTTATCAAGGTCAAGATTCTTGATTGTTCTTTCTTCGGCGGGGTGGCAGCCAATACATCCTTGACGTTCAAAATGAATTTAGTAAGGCAAAAGTTCCCTTTGTGAAACAATCGCATTAGTTCCAATAATGAATGCACTGCCTGTTATGCTGATGGTTTTGAAAACCACAGAGAAATTTTTCCTGACAATTTGATGGATATCCTCCCCAAACATAGCCTTGTTGTCAGCCGCATGTCTGTGGTAATGCACAAGCAGCAATGTATGGCGAATCTGCTTTCCTGAACAGTTGTACTGTCATCTTATAGTTCATTCAAATCATGCAGCTGCATCATACACCACCCTTACTTAAGCCATATTTAGGTTGAACCCTCCACGATGGGGAAGGTACCATGTGTGGCTGCTGGTACAAACCACTTGGAAGCTCAGGGTAATCGTGTCTCCACAGAAGGCCAAGTTCAAACCTTCCAACAAAATGAAATGCCAACAGAGAGTACAAGCGAGGATTGCCAAACAGATATGAGCGAACAAGGATCAGCCAAGAAGCTTTGTGCAAAAGCAAAGAGAAAATTTACCCAAGCAATTAGCAACCTAGACCTAGCCATGACTGCCAAAGTTCCAGTAACAGCCATCGAAAGCAGATACTATATGTTGAAAGTCATATGGAAAGAAGTTCAAGGCAAACATGACGCATACGTGAAATAATTACTTCCTGGGGATGAACACGATGAGAAATGGACTGAGGAACTGAATCAAATATTTAGTGAGATGGAGGTGAAAACAGACAGTTATTTGGAAGAATCAAACGCTGCTAAAGCACAAAAAATGGAGCTCAAAATTGGTAAGGACATGGACGAAGCAAAGATACATGTAAGGTCACGCGAGTTGGCAGAAATTTCTAAGGAGGAAGAAAAGGAAAAGGCTAGAATTAAAGCAAAGGAACAGATGGAAGAATTGTTGGCTCATAAGAGACCAGGAAGAAATTAAGTTTCAGACGTCAATTGAGACCATCCAAAACCTTATAGCAACCACGAGTGCTACAACCACTGAACACCTAGTTGGTGCAGTTAAGGACGCCCAGAAACAACTGGATGTTAGGATGTGTGCCTGTGAGAAGGCACANGGAAGGTACCATGTGTGGCTGCTGGTACAAACCACTTGGAAGCTCAGGGTAATCGTGTCTCCACAGAAGGCCAAGTTCAAACCTTCCAACAAAATGAAATGCCAACAGAGAGTACAAGCGAGGATTGCCAAACAGATATGAGCGAACAAGGATCAGCCAAGAAGCTTTGTGCAAAAGCAAAGAGAAAATTTACCCAAGCAATTAGCAACCTAGACCTAGCCATGACTGCCAAAGTTCCAGTAACAGCCATCGAAAGCAGATACTATATGTTGAAAGTCATATGGAAAGAAGTTCAAGGCAAACATGACGCATACGTGAAATAATTACTTCCTGGGGATGAACACGATGAGAAATGGACTGAGGAACTGAATCAAATATTTAGTGAGATGGAGGTGAAAACAGACAGTTATTTGGAAGAATCAAACGCTGCTAAAGCACAAAAAATGGAGCTCAAAATTGGTAAGGACATGGACGAAGCAAAGATACATGTAAGGTCACGCGAGTTGGCAGAAATTTCTAAGGAGGAAGAAAAGGAAAAGGCTAGAATTAAAGCAAAGGAACAGATGGAAGAATTGTTGGCTCATAAGAGACCAGGAAGAAATTAAGTTTCAGACGTCAATTGAGACCATCCAAAACCTTATAGCAACCACGAGTGCTACAACCACTGAACACCTAGTTGGTGCAGTTAAGGACGCCCAGAAACAACTGGATGTTAGGATGTGTGCCTGTGAGAAGGCACAAGAAAAATACCTAGTATGCTGGAAAAAACTGTTCTGGATTGACATTTTACTTTATAAAAATAAAACAAGCTTAGGAACCTAAATGATGTTTTTGTTTTTTAAACTTTATTAAATTCCACACATGGAAAAATATTTTCATGTTGATCATGCAATGAGGACTTGCATTACGGCGTCTACAAACTTGATAACGAAATCACAAAGGTACGCACAATCACGTCATTTCTTAGAAAAACTGATCACATGTTTTCACTGTAAACGAATGTTGTTGTGTTTGGAATATTGTGACGAGTTTGCGGATGTTTTTATGTGAATTTGACAGGAAAATTGAAGAAAAACTTTAGGACAGTCTACAGCTTATTTGGCCACTGAAATACATTTTGTTCAGACTTTTGTCATCTGACAACTCTTCTTGCGACGAGATCGGTCTTCCTTCTGTTTTGAAGATGGCCGCCTGTTGGTTGCGCTTCATACCAGCCGCAAAATGCTGCTGTATTAAAGTGAAGGCTGCCAAGAACTTCAGACACTGCTATTTGGACCTCTCGAAAATTTGCTGGACCAAATGTCTGGTCTCTTCTCCAAGGTGCGTGCCATTTTCTTACATTTTCTTGCACAGTGGCTTGAAACAGCTCTGTTAGATTTGCCTCATAGCCCTTTGGTGGTAGTAAAACAACTTGAATCTTTGATTGTCTAAACCACTCAGGTATCAAAGGATTATAATGCTGTTTGGATGGATTATTGCGCCTTCCTGCTAAGCCAAGACGATCCCAGATAAAAAAGCTGTGTGGGAGGATAACCATAGGCAGTGGAGGACCACCAAGGTTTGGTGCATAGGCTGGAGGTGGAATATTGTCAAGCACAAAGTGCTTGACTTTGCAATCATTGGAGTTGTTTTCTGAAAGCCAAACTTTGTAGTAGAGTAGCCTCTTGGTCCTATCACAGAATGAAGAGTGTACTTTTCGGATGGTAGGGAACTCTTCCATAAAGCTGTTTGCCTTTTCTAAAGCAGCCTTTTCATGGTAGGACACCAAAAAAAGAGGGCATTCATCTGCGAAGTAAAACTCTTGTGGACAATACCCGGATTGGTAGACTGCATTGTGCATGCCTTCAAGATATCCCATCTGCATGTCAATGACTTTCTCCAAGCTGTCTTTGCTGCAAGATTTATTGAAGTTTTGTAGCTAAACCTCTCATCTGCTCTGCTGTACAGTTGTCAACAGACAGTTCTTGAACTGATTTCAATAACAGATTTGTTCAAAAGTCGACATACTAATACCTCTGTGCTGGCATAAGGGTCGTCTTCGGTAAGTTTCTCCAAAACTTTTTCTTCGGGAGAGTTTTACTTTTCTCGGCCTGCCACCAGATCTCTTCAATGGAGTAACATCTCTGCTCACCTGAACCATGTCTTTCCATCTTTTGAGAGCATTTTTGACTCTCATTCCAGACTGAGCAAGAACTGTTTTGGACAAGATACCACTCGCCATCCGTTCTAGGGCTGTCATTCGCAACCAAGGTGAATATGTGTTTCTGGAAATTTTTTTAGCTGCAACCAGAGTTTTCTTTCTCTTTTGCTTGAAAGAGGGATTATTTAAATCTCCTTTTTTAAAAGGCATCACGACTTATGAAGATTGTAACAATTTCAAAGTAAAACGTCGGGAGATTTAAACATGTTTCAGAAAGAAACATTTTCTCTGAAAGGTGAGAATTTTGGCAACAATTCTCGTAGCATACACAGTGTTTTCCCGCCATTTTTAATGCCTTATCATGTGTTTTTCTAGTTGGGAAAAATGTCCATGTGTGGAATTTAATAAAATTTAAAAAACAAAAATATCATTAAGGATCCTTGGCTTGTATTATTTTTATAAGGTCAAACATCAATCAAGAACAGTTTTGTCCAGTGTACTGAAGTCTCTCACTAGCATAGACGCAATGGGCAGCAAGTCGCACTTGATTGCAACCCTCGTTGAAAAGTGCTACAAGGTTTGCAAAAGGACAGAGATCTTTCTCAGCCAAAACAGTGCAGAGGAGAAATCAGCTACTGCACCTTTTGACAAGCCCAGTACTTCTTGTGTCATCTGACTCGAGAAAATAAAATTTGACCAATTCAAAGGAGACTTACGAAAGTACCCAAAATTTAAAGAGGAATTTCTAAAGCACATCAAACCACGCTACAAGCCTAGTGAGGAAGCGTTTGTACTAAGGCACTACCTATCTGATGAAGTAAGAAATGAAGTAGAAGGTTTAGGAGAAAACATCAAACAAATATGGGAGCGACTTGACGAGAGGAATGGAGAGGAGGGCAAGCTGGTGGATGCTATAGTGTCGGAAATAAAAAAGTTAAAAGGGAGTGTAGACACAGACTATAAAGGAATGCTTGAGATGATAAATGTGATCAAAAGAGTGCAAATAGATTTGAAGAGTCTGAGCCTGGAAAGGGAGATTCAGAATCCATTGAGAAGGAGTAGATAAAGGTTGTTAACAGCAAGACACAACACGGAATTGCCAAAGACAATGTCCCAACCCTCCTGAGCCTACTGCTGGAATTTAGAGAGAGGATAGAATATAAGTTTTGCAACCTTAGAGAGAGAATCAGCGAGCCCAGCCATTTGTCACAAACATTGTTAGTTGATAGAAAGTCCAGTGAAGAGAAAACCGCCTTGTTGGATGCACCCCAACCACCATGGACACCCCATATGGAGGTGCAACGCCTTTGACAGCAAATCAGCATCAGAGAAGGTTAAATTGGCTTGGAAGGACAGTGCTTGCCTTAGGTGCCTTGAGTAAGGCCATACGACAAAATCCTGCAGAAGAAACTTCACATGTAGTGAAGACGGTTGGGGTAGGCCTCACCACTACATGCTCCACGAAGCACACGCGTCCGGTATATCCTCCATAGTGAAGAGATATTCGGAATGACCAATGGCAGGGATAGGGAGATCCTCTTACAACTCCAGAAGCTTAATGGAGGCAATCGAAGAGGCTAGTGGACCACCCTGAACACACTGTCGGGCGGGGGCAGCACCCTGTCCTTTATAACTTTTCACCAAGCTAAACTGATGAACCTGAGAGGACACAAAGTCAACCTTCAAATAGTTAAGGTTGGGGGGTAGTTAAAGAGCTACAGTCCTGCTGCTATGAACTTCGCCGGATTGACAATGCTAATGCTGTTGTCACCATAAGCTTACTTGGAATACATAGCAAACAGTATCTACAGACATCACTCCAATCAAAGTAGATGGTATCGTGAAGCTGTTTAGGTCCTCATCAGTAGACACAGGGAAGGAAGGACAAGTTGACTGTCTTATTGGCTATGAGTATGCTGCCTTCCACCCTGTACGAAAGCAAGTGACCGGACACTTGTTGCTGCTAGAGAATGGACTTGGATTGCTGGTAGGAGGTACACACCCTACACACGTTGAAGAGATCAAGAAGGTTCTAGAACATGCAACTGTCCATCATGCCATGGTGCAAGTGAATGACATTTACAGGTTAGAGTAGTTAAGGGTTGAATGCAATCCAAGATGTGGACCATGCAAATGCGGACAGTGTCATTCAGAAGGAAAACATATGACAGCTAAAGGAGGAAAGGGAATACAACATTATTGAAGAAAAACATGTCTGTAAGGCAGATCAGAAGAAAATTTGGGAATCAGGCTACCCGTGGATCAAGGATCCTAGAACATTACCAGACAACAAGAGTGCTGCCTTCACTGCCCTGAAAGTTACAGAGAGACATCTCAGCAAAGACCTAGTACACGCCACAGTATATCGCAAGCAGATTGAAAGTATGGTTCAAAGCAGTGTTGCCTGCAAATTGACCGAAAAGGAGACTAAAGACTACCAGTTACCAATATTTTTTCGTATCCCACCATGAAGTTCTTAAACCAGAAAGCAAGACCACTCCTTGCCACATCGCGTTTAACAGTAGTGCAAACTTCTGGTGACATGTATTAAACAAGAACTATGCCAAGGGCCCAGACATGTTGACCAACTTGATCAATGTTTTGCTAAGGTTTTGAGAGGAAGGAGTATCATTCAATTAATATACCTCTGTTAGATCAAATGACTCATTGTTTCCTTTGGAGGGATATGGGTGACCAGAAAGAACCTGAAACATATGTATGCAATGACAGACGTGAACACGGGAGATCGCCCGTCAGGAACCATAGCAATAGTATCGCTTTGCAAAACAGCAGAAATGAGCATGACTGGGTAACTTTCTTCAAGTAAAAAAAAGGAGTAGAATTCCCTAGATGGATTAAACCTAGCAATGCAATTTAAGACACAGTGTAGGTGGTTTTCTCAGATGGCTCTGGCAATCCATACCTAGTGGTTGCCTATGCTAGGTGGTTGACAAAAGATGGGACATATGAAGCAAGTATAATTGCCAGCACAAACAGGATAGCTCCTGTTACCTGGTTATTGACATTGTGTGCCTTGAGCTGAGTGGCACTGTTATTGGTAAGTGACTGAGAGTTTTCACTCCAGCTGAGACCAGATACACTTTCACTGTTGTTTATCACATTGTACACAGCAAAATAGTTAAGGCCATGATAAGCAAGGAAAGCTACCGCTTCAATACCTAGGCAGCGAAGCAAATCAGAGAAATTCAAGGGAAGACAAGTCCTCAGGAGTGGTTTTGGGTAGCAGGAAACTTAAACATTGCAGACTGGTTAACTTGAGGGAAAAACCCCACGGAACTAGGACCACGCGGCACATAGCAGAGAGGCCCAGACTTTTTTACGCAGCCAGTAGAGGAGTGGCCGGTATCGAGCCATGCCAATGTAGAAGAGCCACCCAAGCACCACAAAGCAGTCACAAATGTTAGACAACAGAGAAAGAGATATTGGAAACTAGAATCAACATTGGAAGGTTTAGTAAGAATGAGCTATTGACGAATACCACAGCTAGAATACTGAAGCTTTATAAGCGTTATAATAAAGTTACTGAACACTCACCCAGCGGACTGAACGAACTTAAGACCAAAGACCTTGATGCAGCTGAGCGATTCAAGATTAGGGATGTACAAGAGTTAATTACCAAAGACATTGAAGAGGGCAAGTTTATTAGACTCTGTCCAAAGTATAAAGATGGCTTGACTGTTGTAGCTGTCAGAGGCTGAGCTGAGTGCTAGATGCAGGCGACACAGAACAGGCAAACGTTCATCCTCCCCCTTCTCAATCACCGTCTGTTGCAACTGATTGCTGAAGATGAACACAGGAAGGGTGGACACCTAGACGTTGCTGCTACTGTTGCTATAATCTGATGTTGCTTCTGGATTACTATTCTCCAAAGGTTAGTCAAAAGCATTGTCACAGGTGCATTGTATTAAAGACTGCAGCCTTTGCTGCAATTCTATACATTTGGGATAGATTTCTTTGGACCATTAACTATCAAGGAAGAGGTGCAGAAGAGTATTCGCCGAAAATGCAATGGAGTGACTTTGGTCTGCTTCTCCTTCCGTGCAGTGCATGTCAATGTCAGCAAGGATTACTCAACTGATTCCTTCCTCCAAGTGATGCGGCCATTCTAAAGTATCAGAGGCTGGTCTAAGAAGATCTACAGTGATTGCGGTACCCAGCTCGTGCTGCATCTAAAGAGTTAAAGAATGCTGTCAGTAGGCTAGACCAGCACAAACTCCAGGCATTTGATGGGAAGCATAAAATCAAACGGCAATTTTACTGCAGGCGATGCTCCATGGATGAGTGGCGTAACAGAAGCATTTGTGAAATCCATCAAGAAAGCGCTAAATGCAGCTGTCGGAGACCAATGAGTTGCAAACCATGATGTTTGAGGCAATGCAGCTTGTCAATCTAACACCCAATAAACCATCCAGATGATGGAAGTTAACTTTGTCAGAATGATCTCCTACCCGGCAGAGCTTCGCCTGAGGTACCATACGGACCATTTAAGAACAGAGTCAGGGACAGATACAGCCATGTGGAAAGGAGGAATACCAAGGAAGGGGACATCATTTTGATTCAAGACAGCAACGCTCTTCAAGGTGATTGGAGGATCGGCATCATTACTAAACCCCATCCCAGCCACAACAACAAAAGTTCCACAGGTCACTGTATCATACAAGAACCGTGTCAGGGCGACACTGCGAAGTACACGAGTGTCGAAAGAGCAGTTCACAGGCTCATGGTGCTTGTTCTAGTTGATGATAATGACTGAATGCCGAGGTCATTGACTTGCAGCTTTTCAGCTGTGCAGAGTGTTTCACACCATTCGCGCTCGGGGTGGACTGAAACTGAATTAAGCTACAAGTCACACGACTAGGACTTTGCTTTTTAAATTTGAATGCTATTGAATCTTCATTGTGAGCCAGGATTAAGTTTGTGTATTACGGCTTTTCATGCTAGTTATTACTTTAGGGATAAATAGCAGGTACTGCTATATTTTTGCTTTTGCACATCTCTTATTTGCCCGTTTGTTTGGTTCTTTCATCACAAATTTTTGTATATGTAGCATGTATTTCTGTTGCTTTGTTTAGGTAATTCAAATCAGAAACAACTGGATGTTAGGATGTGTGCCTGTGAGAAGGCACAAGAAAAATACCTAGTATGCTGGAAAAAACTGTTCTGGATTGACATTTTACTTTATAAAAATAAAACAAGCTTAGGAACCTAAATGATATTTTTGTTTTTTAAACTTTATTAAATTCCACACATGGAAAAATATTTTCATGTTGATCATGCAATGAGGACTTGCATTACGGTGTCTACAAACTTGGTAACGAAATCACAAAGGTACGCACTGTAAACACTGTAAACGAATGTTGTTGTGTTTGGAATATTGTGACGAGTTTGCGGATGTTTTTATGTGAATTTGACAGGAAAATGGAAGAAAAACTTTAGGACAGTCTACAGCTTATTTGGCCACTGAAATACATTTTGTTCAGACTTTCGTCATCTGACAACTCTTCTTGCGACGAGATCGGTCTTCCTTCTGTTTTGAAGATGGCCGCCTGTTGGTTGCGCTTCGTACCAGCCGCAAAATGCTGCTGTATTAAAGCGAAGGCCGCCAAGAACTTCCGACACTGCTATTTGGACCTCTCGAAAATTTGCTGGACCAAATGTCTGGTCTCTTCTCCAAGGTGCGTGCCATTTTCTTACGTTTTCTTGCACAATGGCTTGAAAAAGCTCTGTTAGATTTGCCTCATGGCCCTTTGGTGGTAGCAAAACAACTTGAATCTTTGATTGTCTAAACCACTCATGTATCAAAGGATTATAATGCTGTTTGGATGGATTATTGCACCCTCCTGCTAAGCCAAGACGATCCCAGATAAAAAAGCTGTGTGGGAGAATTACCATAGGCAGTGGAGGACCACCAAGGCTTGGTGCATAGGCTGGAGGTGGAATATTGTCAAGCACAAAGTGCTTGACTTTGCAATCATTGGAGTTGTTTTCTGAAAGCCAAACTTTGTACTAGAGTAGCCTCTTGGTCCTATCACAGAATGAAGAGTGTAATTTTTCGGACGGTAGGGAACTCTTCCATAAAGCTGTTTGCCTTTTCTAAAGCAGCCTTTTCATGCTAGGACAGCAAAAAAGAGGGCATTCATCTGCAAAGTAAAACTCTTGTGGACAATACCCGGATTGGTAGACTGCATTGTGCATGCCTTCAAGATATCCCATCTGCATGTCAATGACTTTCTCCAAGCTGTCTTTGCTGCAAGATTTATTGGAGTTTTGTAGCTAAACCTCTCATCTGCTCTGCTGTACAGTTGTCGACAGACAGTTCTTGAACTGATTTCAATAACAGATTTGTTCAAAAGTCGACATACTAATACCTCTGTGCTGGCATAAGGGTCGTCTTCGGTAAGTTTCTCCAAAACTTTTTCTTCGGGAGAGTGTTTTTTTACTTTTCTCGGCCTGCCACCAGATCTGTTTAATGGAGTAACATCTCTGCTCACCTGAACCATGTCTTTCCATCTTTTGAGAGCATTTTTGACTCTCATTCCAGACTCAGCAAGAACTGTTTTGGACAAGATACCACTCGCCATCCGTTCTAGGGCTGTCATTCGCAACCAAGGTGAATATGTGTTTCTGGAACTTTTTTTAGCTGCAACCAGAGTTTTCCTTCTCTTTTGCTTGAAAGAGGGATTATTTAAATCTCCTTTTTTAAAAGGCATCACGACTTATGAAGATTGTAACAATTTCAAAGTAAAACGTCGGGAGATTTAAACATGTTTCAGAAAGAAACATTTTCTCTGAAAGGTGAGAATTTTGGCAACAATTCTCGTAGCATACACAGTGTTTTCCCGCCATTTTTAATGCCTTATCATGTGTTTTTCTAGTTGGGAAAAATGTCCATGTGTGGAATTTAATAAAATTTAAAAAACAAAAATATCATTAAGGATCCTTGGCTTGTATTATTTTTATAAGGTCAAACATCAATCAAGAACAGTTTTGTCCAGTGTACTGAAGTCTCTCACTAGCATAGACGCAATGGGCAGCAAGTCGCACTTGATTGCAACCCTCGTTGAAAAGTGCTACAAGGTTTGCAAAAGGACAGAGATCTTTCTCAGCCAAAACAGTGCAGAGGAGAAATCAGCTACTGCACCTTTTGACAAGCCCAGTACTTCTTGTGTCATCTGACTCGAGAAAATAAAATTTGACCAATTCAAAGGAGACTTACGAAAGTACCCAAAATTTAAAGAGGAATTTCTAAAGCACATCAAACCACGCTACAAGCCTAGTGAGGAAGCGTTTGTACTAAGGCACTACCTATCTGATGAAGTAAGAAATGAAGTAGAAGGTTTAGGAGAAAACATCAAACAAATATGGGAGCGACTTGACGAGAGGAATGGAGAGGAGGGCAAGCTGGTGGATGCTATAGTGTCGGAAATAAAAAAGTTAAAAGGGAGTGTAGACACAGACTATAAACGAATGCTTGAGATGATAAATGTGATCAAAAGAGTGCAAATAGATTTGAAGAGTCTGAGCCTGGAAAGGGAGATTCAGAATCCATTGAGAAGGAGTAGATAAAGGTTGTTAACAGCAAGACACAACACGGAATTGCCAAAGACAATGTCCCAACCCTCCTGAGCCTACTGCTGGAATTTAGAGAGAGGATAGAATATAAGTTTTGCAACCTTAGAGAGAGAATCAGCGAGCCCGGCCATTTGTCACAAACATTGTTAGTTGATAGAAAGTCCAGTGAAGAGAAAACCGCCTTGTTGGATGCACCCCAACCACCATGGACACCCCATATGGAGGTGCAAAGCCTTTGACAGCAAATCAGCATCAGAGAAGGTTAAATTGGCTTGGAAGGACAATGCTTGCCTTAGGTGCCTTGAGCAAGGCCATACGACAAAATCCTGCAGAAGAAACTTCACATGTAGAGAAGACAGTTGGGGTATGCCTCACCACTACATGCTCCACGAAGCACACGCGTCCGGTATATCCTCCATAGTGAAGAGATATTCGGAATGACCAATGGCAGGGATAGGGAGATCCTCTTACAACTCCAGAAGCTTAATGGAGGCAATCGAAGAGGCTAGTGGACCACCCTGAACACACTGTCGGGCGGGGGCAGCACCCTGTCCTTTATAACTTTTCACCAAGCTAAACTGATGAACCTGAGAGGACACAAAGTCAACCTTCAAATAGTTAAGGTTGGGGGGTAGTTAAAGAGCTACAGTCCTGCCGCTATGAACTTTGCCTGATTGACAATGCTAATGCTGTTGTCACCATAAGCGTACTTGGGATACATAGCATACAGTATCTACAGACATCACTCCAATCAAAGTAGATGGTATCGTGAAGCTGTTTAGGTCCTCATCAGTAGACACAGGGAAGGAAGGACAAGTTGACTGTCTTATTGACTATGAGTATGTTGCCTTCCACCCTGTACGAAAGCACGTGACCGGACGCTTGTTGCTGCTAGAGAATGGACTTGGATTGCTGGTAGGAGGTACACACCCTACACTCGTTGAAGAGATCAAGAAGGTTCTAGAACATGCAACTGTCTATCCTGCCATGGTGCAAGTAAATGACTTTTACAGGTTAGAGCAGTTAAGGGTTGAATGCAATCCAAGATGTGTACCATGCAAATGTGGACAGTGTCATTCAGAAGGAAAACATATGACAGCTAAAGGAGGAAAGGGAATACAACATTATTGAAGAAAAACATGTCTGTAAGGCAGATCAGAAGAAAATTTGGGAAGCAGGCTACCCGTGGATCAAGGATCCTAGAACATCACCTGACAACAAGAGTGCTGCCTTCACTGCCCTGAAAGTTACAGAGACATCTCAGCAAAGACCTAGTACACGCCACAGTATATCGCAAGCAGATTGAAAGTATGGTTCAAAGCAGTGTTGCCCGCAAATTGACTGAAAAGGAGACTAAAGACTACCAGTTAACAACATTTTTTCGTATCCCACCATGAAGTTCTTAAACCAGAAAGCAAGACCACTCCTTGCCACGTCGCGTTTAACAGTAGTGCAAACTTCTGGTGACATGTATTAAACAAGAACTATGCCAAGGGCCCAGACATGTTGAACAACTTGATCAATGTTTTGCTAAGGTTTTGAGAGGAAGGAGTATCATTCAATTAATATACCTCTGTTAGATCAAATGACTCATTGTTTCCTTTGGAGGGATCTGGGTGACCAGAAAGAACCTGAAACATATGTATGCAATGACAGACGTGAACACGGGAGATCGCCCGTCAGGAACCATAGTAATAGTATCGCTTTGCAAAACAGCAGAAATGAGCAGTGACAAGTTTCCACGCTCCTGTGAGACTATTCTGAAAAAAAGCTATATGGACGACATCTCAGAAAGTGTTAAGACAAGAGAAGAAGCCTCGACCTTGACATCTGAAATTGACAAAATCCATGAGCATGACTGTTTAAGAATTAAGGGATGGGCCATGCCTGGAGTCGGCAGGGAAATAGGGCAAGGAGCTCAAAAACAGAACCATGAAGATCAGCATCTCGCACGAGGTTTGTTTGGCACAAGTGATGATGCCATGGAATTGGAAAGAGTACTTGGTATGGGTTGGAACATGTCAATCGTCAAACTGAACTTCTCTAAAAAGGAAGCGAAAGATACACAAACAGCCAGACCAACTCGAGAGCAAATCTCAGCAAGCATCCCGGAAGCACTAACCAAGAGAATGAAATGACTCAAGTCAATGGAATGTACAACCCTATGGGTCTGGTATCCCTGTTTATGGTTTATGTTAAGATCATACTTTGCAAGTTCTGGGGACAGGACAAGAAACTGGATTGGGATGATCCCATTCCTGACTGCTTGAGAATCAACTGGGTAACTTTCTTCGAGTAAAAAAAAGAAGTAGAATTCCCTAGATGGATTAAACCTAGCAATGCAATTTAAGACACAGTGTAGGTGGTTTTCTCAGATGGCTCTGGCAATCCATACCTAGTGGTTGCCTACGCTAGGTGGTTGACAAAAGATGGGACATATGAAGCACGAATAATTGCCAGCACAAACAGGATAGCTCCTGTTACCTGGTTATTGACATTGTGTGCCTTGAGCTGAGTGGCACTGTTATTGGTAAGTGACTGAGAGTTTTCACTCCAGCTGAGACCAGATGCACTTTCACTGTTGTTTATCACATTGTACACAGCAAAATAGTTAAGGCCATGATAAGCAAGGAAAGCTACCGCTTCAATACCTAGGCAGCGAAGCAAAGCAGAGAAATTCAAGGGAAGACAAGTCCTCAGGAGTGGTTTTGGGTAGCAGGAAACTTAAACATTACAGACTGGTTAACTTAAGGGAAAAACCCCACGGAACTAGGACCACGCGGCACATAGCAGAGAGGCCCAGACTTTTTTAGGCAGCCAGTAGAGGTGTGGCCGGTATCGAGCCATGCCAATGTAGAAGAGCCACCCAAGCACCACAAAGCAGTCACAAATGTTAGACAATGGAGAAAGAGATATTGGAAACTAGAATCAACATTGGAAGGTTTAGTAAGAATGAGCTATTGACGAATACCACAGCTAGAATACTGAAGCTTTATAAGTGTTATAATAAAGTTACTGAACACTCACCCAGCGGACTGAACAAACTTTGTGCCGCCATGTTCACATGAAAGTTGTATATTTTGCTGAAGCACGTAAATTTGAATGCTATTGAATCTTCATTGTGAGCCAGGATTGAGTTTGTGTATTACGGCTTTTCATGCTAGTTATTACTTAAGGGATAAATAGCAGGTACTGCTATATTTTTGCTTTTGCACATCTCTTATTTGCCCGTTTGTTTGGTTCTTTCATCACAAATTTTTGTATATGTAGCATGTATTTCTGTTGCTTTGTTTAGGTAATTCAAANTAAGGGATAAATAGCAGGTACTGCTATATTTTTGCTTTTGCACATCTCTTATTTGCCCGTTTGTTTGGTTCTTTCATCACAAATTTTTGTATATGTAGCATGTATTTCTGTTGCTTTGTTTAGGTAATTCAAACTCACATCATATAGTTTGGTACTATGAACCAAGATATAAAAAACTGGCATGAAACACATACAAACTCTGTAATTAACATTCCCGTAAGCCGGCAAACTTGGATAGGACACTCGCGGGTTTACATGTTAGATTTAAACCTTTATTTAATTAGCTCCCACATAGGCTGACACCTGAAATGAAATCTCATTCGTCTCTGAATCTTGTTTGTTAATACATGTACATCAACTTCATAAAATAGCTTCCACTGTACAGATTATAAAACATGGTCATAAAATACTGGCCATCCGTAAAAGGACAACTCAGGGTCAGCATCAGGGTCCTTTGCTCTTTTGCTAGTTTGTTTTTTTTTCCTGTTGTTTTTATGAGTCAAAACATACACGTAAATCAGAAATGAATAATTGATCCAACCCCAAATCGGTATTTTACTGACACCAAAAAAGACCTCAACACTCTCTCTTGCTCCACTGTTATGTGACGAGGGGTTCATGAAAGTCCCTTCCTGCTGGACACAGTGATAATTATTGACTGTTAAAATATGGTGCTGACCACTTCCTTCGCTCTCCTGACCTCTCATTTTGGATATATATTAACACACCAAGGAGAAAGTAGTTTCCAATCACTGCTTAGACTTACACATAAAAGGTTAAATAGATCTTCACACTTACATGGTTGTTAGTGGCTGTTGCTGATTTGGCTTCAAATAAAATGACTTGTTTCCCATAGGATGCTGCAATCTATTCAGGTAAGCATTCATAAATTTAAATGAAGATATAATTATCGCATTTGAAAAAGCAATTTAAGCAATATTATTGCTGAATTAATTTTTTCCTTAATTGTTAATCGGGTAGCTTTAATGGGATTTGAACCCATGGCTTCTGCATTAGTGCTGCAGCACTCCATTTGCTTAAACTGCCATAACAGGTGCAATACGTAATTACATCTTCATTTAAATATGTATTTTCGTAGTTCACATCATCTTCATTCTATAATAATAATCATGATTAAAAGTTTCATAGAATGAAGATCATGTGAACTTCAGAAATAAATTATTTATTGGTTAATAAATTTAAATTCATTGTCAGGCATCAGAAAAACAAGGTAAATACCACCAGTAAAAAAAGGTTCTAATCTAGTTACATTGTTTTAATCCATGCATGATTATTTGTGTTTTTGTAAGTGCACACACTTATTGTCAAACTCAGAAAACTGTGAACACCTGGAAAAATTTTAGTAATGTTGATTGTGTAATGACCAGACACAATTACACTGTAAGTTCAGGACATGACAGCAAACTAAAAAACTACAAACTAATTACTGTTACTGTTTGAGGTTTAGTTTTTTCATGCCTAATTGGCTTTGTCCTCGCAACACAATAATATTCCATAAATAATTCTGGTGTTCTCGGTTTTATGAGTTTCAAAGTAATGAAACATGCGCATTAGATTGTATTTAAATGCTATTTTGCACCTTATAAAATTACCATAACCAAATTACATTTTACATAGAATTTGCATATTATGTCACCACTTGGCCTGGATTCAATTTTCAAAATTACACTGCAAATTTAGACCACTGTGAATAGGCTAAATTTGTACTCTCAATTTTCTCGTATGCATGTTATGGTTCAGAATTTTTTGGGGTTTGAATTTTTTCAAACTAGTAACCTATTGGAAACTATAAAACCACAGAAGGTAGTTAAACACTGAGAAACTACCACAATAAAAAACAATGAAACCAAAAACCTACAGATTTCGACAACAAAGTAGGAATATTTTCACTCTTAACCTACAGCTGTACATGATGAGTTAATTTTGTTCAGGTTTTTGAGGTTTTTGAATTTCAACAAACTGTACTTTAAGATAAAAGGAGAACAAATCAAAACTGTCTTGAAAAAGAAATTAAATTTAAACAGGTGCATTAGAAACAAAGAGTACCTTTCCATCAGAATCACAGCAATCTATGCAGCTGACTTCCTTGTACCCATACAGTGAACCAGGAATGACTTGCACTCTGGTGAATCCACTCACAAGAATAACAACATCACAACCAGATGCATAAGCCTGACAAACAAGAAATGATAAAAAAACATCTTTGACCCAAGTTTTTGTTAACATAAATTTTATTTCCATTTTGCAACTTTTTGAATGGAAGAAAGCTCATGTCTGTTCTCATGAAACATATGGTGTTGAATGGTCTGTTTCCTCAATCAAGACCTTCTCGTGGTTTTTGATGCCATCTTGACATGAGAAGGAAAGTTGGATTTAAAATATGGCCTTTCGTTTTGTGAAGAAGTAAAACAAGAAAGTCACATGTGAACAGTATTTGAAATATGTATGTTGAATTGTCAATGCACAATGTTGAATTAAAGAGGTTGAATATTGTATTTTGAAATGAGAATGTTGAATAGTGAATGCCCAATGTTGAAGTTGTGATTCAACATTGCACAATACTTTGTTCAACATTTAGTTGTTGTAGAAGAGTTTCAACATTTGTTGACCAGCAAACTGTGTCACTGGCTTTATCTTTAAAATGGGATGGGCTACCTATAAAATTAACACCACAAAGACAAAAGAAAGGAATATGATCTGAACATGCAAACGCGCGTATTTACCAAGTGAGTTTTGATTTTTTTTTCAAGTGCGTTTTGAGAGACTCTAGCTTTAAACTTGAAAGACTTAAGAAAGATTAAGCAAACCTTGAAGCAAGTTAGATTGGAAGAAAATGCAATTCTCAGTTATACAAGGAATTTGTCAGTGTTCTTGCATTACTTATGTGTTAACATACCAATCCGCGATCGCTGATCGATCAATGGGAAAATGAGGTTTTGCACCTTGCTTACCGTAAAAGGGTGATCATCTACGCTTCCAACGGCGACTGCTGCTTTGTCGTCGAATGTATTCGTTGCCCCAGTTAGCACTTGATGGAGTTTCATCTTATTCAGCTTACATTCACCTTTTATTTTGTAACTGACAACAATAAATTCTGAAGTTCTTCACCCAGTAGGCCGCCATATTTGCCTCGACCTGCTGCGGAAACAGATGGCAGTTTATGGTTCATATATGACGTATCTATCGAAGATGAGCACTTCCACTGAAGTTGTGCTCGTAGTCGCGGTTGCAGATTCAGATATTTTGAGTCAGCGGTTTATTCTTTCGAAATTCATCATGGCGGACGAGTCGGAGGACGAGGAGGGTGGCGAATTTTTTCGGCTTTTCGCAGATATCCCCTTAAACCCACCGGAAAAAAGGGACATGTGTGATAGGTGCAAGTAAGTAAACTTGTTTCTTATTTCATCGGCAAAAAGAAAAGCGTTGGGGAAGAAATCAGAGATGTTGTATACTGCTGTCTGTATGTAGCAACCGTATATACCAGTATGCATGTCTGTATGTACCAACATCAGATCACCCGATGGAAAAAAAAGTCTTGGGAACTCACCGGAAAATGGAACACGATTAGCGACAGCGTTACGCAAACCTCCCTTTTCGGCGTGCAAAAAAGGGATAGAAGACGTTTGCAGTTTGCACGCAAGCTATGATGGTGATTGCTATCGGTTATTTTCAATCATCGTACACTGTAGGGCTCAACTTCAGAAAGAAGATGCTGAAAAACACAGCTGCAGAGATGATGTTAAGAATTTTCTGTGAAAAACCATGCTTATTTATAAAATAACTAAGATAGTACGCGCGCTCTGATTGGCCGAGAGGAGTGTTTGCATGAGAGCATGTAAACATGGTTGTGGCGTCAAGATGTTTTGCTTTTCGCGCGCTAATCACGCAAGCACAAATTTGAAAAAGTTTACAAGTTCAAAACTCGACAAGTTTTGACTTTATTTACCCATTCCTTCGTCGGCTGAAACATGGAAAATCGTTACAAAGAAGGTGTGTCAATTTTTTTCCGCTTAAGCTGACATTTTAAGCGAGAAAAATCCGTATTTTGGAAAGCATCTTTTTGCAAAACAAGAACTGATTACGCATGCAAGACTTCGTGGACAAGATTTTGCGACTGGGAAGAATTTCTCTTTTAATCAGTGCCATACAAACAGTTTTGCGTTTTTTCTCGTGAAAGTTATTTTATAAAAGCAATAGAAAACGTTTTCTATTGCTTAAATATTATGATAGACCAATAAATTGATCCCGAAAGGATTAATTGCACCAAAAATAGCAAACAAATAATGTTAGAAGTAATATATCAAGCATGAGACACAGTGTTTCACCACCAGATGAAACACTGAGAAGAGAGCTGAAAATAAAACGTGCAGAAGAGTATTTTTGACGAACTTTGAGGTGTTTCATCTGGTGATGAAACACAGTGTCAAATGCTTGATATTACTTCTCAAACAAAATGATTTTAAAAGGAAAAATTAAGGATTTCAAAATGGGCAGTTTTCCATCTGATTTTCAAGCAGTCATTAAACATTAATTTCCTTTGTATTTTCTTTATAAATTATTGATGAGTCTGACAAATATTTTTCAGGACTCTCACCTCCACAGAGGTCTACCTTGTACTTACTATTTTATTTCTATTTTTATTGAATTACCCAGCGGGAGCTTCTGTGGAGGAGAGAGGTGCTGTGCCACTTTTGGGAGTAATAGGGTTAACAGGGAAAGCTTTATAATTATCAAGAAGCAGGGAAGAGACAAGTCTTTATGTAATGGATTCTGGCATGATGGTGAAAACCAGCAATTATTACAGTATGATTTTTTAACCCCTCAATCTATGAAAAATGTTTTTAGGAGACCTCTGTCAGTCTGCCTGTGTGCCCACTTTCCATCCAAGTACCTTCAAATTTCCACAAGAGTTCATGTTTTACAGCATCCCCGTGAGGTATGTGTCAGTGGAAATAATTATGCAGTAGTACTGTAACTGAAAGTGAAGAAATGATCATCGCAGTGAACGCAATTTATGCAATTGCGTTCACTGCGACGATCATTTCTTCACTTTCATTTCATTCCCGCAGTTCATAAATGATTTATTTCATATATCATTAACACAGTACTGTAACTGTTTATAGTCAATAATTATGTAGATTTTCCAACCTGATTTAGATGCCAGTAAATAAAAAGTCTTACTAAATGTGTCACTGATAATTACTAATATTTAGTGATAGTATTAATGTAAAATTTCCATCCTGCTCTTCATTTCAGGAATCTCGACTTTTAACAACCGTACCACTGTTGGAAGTGTGTTTGCCCCCAGAGAAACTTGTCATTCGCAGAGGAAGAAGATTTAATTCTAAAACTGATTGGCCTGAACTTCACAAAATTATGACCAAGCCTACCACACTACTTCTCTATCCTGGACCTGAAGGTTTGTGAGTGTTATCATTCTTAAGATCTGAATTGCGGTGATGTGCTGTAAGGCCCAACATGCATCCAGCTTGGTAACAAAGGGCTATAGTTGGTCACATGATCAACTTTCTGTAAACACGAAAACAGTTCACTTTTGGAACATTTTGTTAGCAGGAACTGAAAGAGCATATCAAAATTAAGCAAGCTGTAAATTTTCATCCATCTATCTCAAGATAAGCAACTGCAACGGTGGCTGAAAATTAGGAGGATTTGTATGAGGAAGGCAACTCGTGCCACCCATTCACACTTGATTGGTTTTCCATACAAATCCTGTAAATTTTGAAATTTTTAAACTGTCGTTGAATCTTTCCCTTATGCATTTAAGGGGCGGGCTCAAGTTGCCTGTTACAAATAAAAAGGAGATTTGAGCCTCATAATACTTAAGGAAATACATGTATTTTACGACAGTTTGAAAATTTCAAAGTTTACAAAGATTTGTATGGAAAACCAGTCAGGCATGACTAGGTGGCAGAAGTTGTTTTTCTCATATATATCCTTCTCATTTTCAGCAGCCGTTGCAATCACTACTTTTGAGATATACGGCTGAAAATTAACAGGTTGCCTTATTTTAATATGCTCTTTTAGTTCGTGCTAACAAAAATTTTCCAAAAGCAAACTGTTTTTACGTTTAAAGAAAGTTGATCACATGATCAACTAATGCAAAAGCCCATTACGGCCATGTTGATTTGTCATGGCTTGCGTACTGGGCAGCCCTTTTTTTTTTCATTGAAAGCTCACAGGTACATTGATCACAGTCATCATCTTGAAAGTAAATAGCTTGTCATCCTCATCCTTGGAATCATTTTTGGACTCACCCAAAAGTAAACTATGTCAGTTTCAATGTCCACTATGGCAGGAGAGTATTACGGTAGTCACATAAATAGTGTCATAATTCACACTGCAAAATACACCTGCTTTGCAAGCAATGTCATAGCAAAATTGTTAAGTATTGTCCATCCATTTCCTTTTAAGAAGCCCTGTTCATGCAACCATGTCATTTAACTTGAGATCAGGCTCAATTTTCGTTTCGCTTTGTAATAACATTCCGGTGGCAAGGCGTTAGAGAGAATGTATGATCTCAGGTTATGTCATTAAATACAGCCAATGGCCATTTTCTGAAATCCCAGCAGATTCATTCCTTTATAAATACACCTTTTTAATGTGTCTACTCAAAACCAAATCTGCTTTCTAATGGCCAGACAAGTGAAAAACAAAAATAAATCTTGAGAAATACTAGTGCTCGAGAGTATAAGTGGTGTTCGTAGAATTCAGTATGTTCTGTTCTAGCAATAAAATAGCCATTTTCGCACTTAATTCAGCAGTACTAAAAATATTGTTTGATATACGGTAGAATCTTTAACAAAACAGAACGTTGAGATGATTAACATGTGACACCTTACCGTGCTTATACAGCCACCTTGTTAATATGGCTAAGACCTGTTAGTGGCCATTAAAGAGATATTAATGAGGTCTGTCCACTGTAACAAAAAATTGTGGAATCCTTTTGACTGCTGTTGAGACTAAACTAAAAACAGTAACTTGAGTAAAGATTTTCTAGAACCTCTTATGATCGCATGTTCTTATGTTCCTACCATTAGCTGAGAATATTAAAAAAATGGATAAACTTGCACCTGGAGAGCATTATGACATCATCGTTCTGGATGGAACATGGCGGCAAGCAAAAGATATCTTTCACAATAATCCATTCCTCCGCCAGGCAAGACAGGTAAGCTTAAACTCAGAGGTGCCACAGAAAAGGTACTATACAATGCCATATTACGGGGCAGTTCCATAAGTTTTAGATTTGCAGATACAGGCTGTATAAGAGTCAACCTGCACTAGTGAAAAAGCTGTTTATTTAGACAAATTTTCCGTCATCATCAATGCTTAACAAATTCGGATGGTTGATCACAATGTTACAAATTTTGCCAGAGATGGGACAATCTTCAAGGTGCTGCAGACAAAATTTACCCCTGGTAGAAACTGGACAAAATCAATGAAATAAACAGAAAGATGTTTTTCTTGTCAATGATTTGTGTAAAGCCATTATTCTTTCCATTAAGTAATGACAGAGGTGACGACCTGTTAAAAGTAGATAGTTTCGATCTACATCTGGTGCAGATAAATGTTTTCAAAACAAAAATTGTCACCATGTAATTTTTGGTTTAGATGTTTCAAAGACTGTTCCAAATTTGTCTGGTAGTGTGGATCGGCCCTTAGTGTAATAGGGAAGACAACCATGACAATCAAACTGAGACTGGATATCCACTGCCATGAAATACAGTGTACATTTCTAAATTGTTTGAATGGTTTCCTATCAGGGAATTTTTTTGGTAGTCTATGTGCACCTTTGCCACTTGGGCTCCCTGCACATCATTCATACAGATCTAATAGGCCATTTTCGAGTTGGCCCATGCCTCAGATTCAAAGCAAGGCTATGTGCAAAGCCATTGATATGAGAATAATTTTTTATTCCCAAGCAAATAACAACTCATTTTCAGAATAAAGGGTTTACACTTAGCCTCGTTTTGAAAGTGAGAAATTTTGTAACTCAGAATTGGCCTGTTCCAAGCCTGTGCTCTTAGGCAAATTAGACAGAGCCTAGCCTACGTGTAGCCACACCCTCCCCCGCTCTCTGTTTTTCCTCTTTGGGGGAGAGGTTGTGGATACGTGTAGACTAGACAGAGCCCAGATGCAATTACATGATATAATTCTTGTGGTGTTACCATGCAAGTGAAACCCTGGGAGTAGAACGTTTGAATGATATTGATTATTTCCTAGGAACTTGCATGACGAATTTGGAATTTTTGTGAATTTTTTTTACTTTGGCAACTATAAGAATTGAAAGGGTCAATGTTATTTTAATGTTTCTTATGTTTTCCAGGTGCAGTTAGAACATGATCATATCAGTGAATATGTGATTAGAACACAGCCCAACAGTAAAAGCTTGTGCACCATAGAGGCTATTGCTTTGTCTTTATCTGTTCTTGAGAATAATGACGAAGTTGCAGAGGTGAGGATATCAGTTAGTGGAATTTTTTATGATATTGTTAATCCCTGCACAGACTGTTTGAGGTGACTCCCCTCTTTTTTGAGGATCTTTGAGATCAGGTGCTTTCTGTTACCATTAGCTCAACTACAAGCAGCATCTCTTCTTTCTTTGACCATGCAAGACTGCTGCCCTTGTTTCTCATGCTCATGCACGCATGCATGCCCCTGACTAAATGTGAAGCAAAAGAGAGACTCACAGTCTAATGTTGGCCATCTTGGTTAAAATGTACTGGGGGGTGGGCATGAGTGTTTATAGCGGTTAGGGAAAGGCAATGAAACCTCCCAAATCTTTCCCTTTCCCTCCCTTCTCTTTCCTTAGGTATTAATTTTTGTGTTTTGTCATTTGCTCTTGTAGGCTTTAATTCGGCCGCTGAGAGCATTATGCAAGATCCAATTAGATCACGGTGCTGTAGTGCACTTTAACAAAGACCATCAAGATGAAATCTTGTTAAGAGCGTAAGTTCACATATATTTTAATTTATAAGAGGGAAAAGCTAAAGTCTTGTGAAGCGCAGGATCTCAATGAGATCAATACATGTCAGTGTATTTTGAAAGGAAGGTGCTCTTGCGAGCAGTTTTGGCAGCGTTCGTTGCAATGCAAATGAGAGCAATGGAAGGAACATTGCATACGCTTTACATCGTTTCAAACTGTTTTCAAGAAGCACTTCCTTGTGTAGGAAATCTTATCTTCATTTCGGCAATCCGGTTTGTTAATTTACACAGTAAGGGGGGAGGGGGGTTGTAGATTTCGTTTACATATTCAAGATCTGATATTCGCTCGCGTCCCAGTCCATTGACGTTGTCTTTGTTAAGCAACGACGACGGCAACGTTAACGAGAACGGCAAAACAGCAATAGGTTTAGATTGGCAAAACAACAACTCTGCACGTGCATCACGCCTTTTTGTACATTTCTTTGACGTCACTGCAAGAATACGACGTGAAGATGCCTAATTTCACGTATTGTGGAGGACGTGAACACAAGACGACGACTTTTTTTTTCCGTGAACGTCTTTACACTCTTTTAGAATTTAACTCCAGAAAAAAATTGCTAACATTTGACGAATTGAACGAGATGGAATAAGCGCGATGAAGTTTGAAACAGCGCGATTTCACTTTGTAAGTGACGTTTTCGTAGCCGTCTCCGTCGCCGTCGTTGTTGCTTAAGTGAGCAAAGACTTTTTTCAGCGACGCACATCAACCGGAAGTGGACTTTCTGCACTTTTGAGGAGTGGTTTTGCCTAAATATTCGGGCAAATCGTCTTTATATAAGTGCAAAAATACTTAGAAATACTTTTCAATTAAGAAGGCCTTACCCCCGGTTGACGTGCGTAGCTCAAAAACGCCTTTGTTTAGCATTTTCCTTTGTTTTTTCTCTCGTTGCTTGATTTTGTTTTAACAATACAATGAATCGAAGGAAAGCCGTTAGCAATTTCATGTTTGATATAATTATCGCTTGCTTTGCAGCTAAATTAAAACCATTTGATAGTTTTCTTTGTTTCGACATTATTGTTTTCCAGGCAAAGGGAAGAACAGTACCTGAAGCGAAGGCACGTGAATGGAGAAGTCGAAGAGTCAAATCAATAATAATCAATATACTTTGTGGGCAACGTTAACTTTTTACAATTTTTAAGACAGAATCACGCGACGGCAACGAGAACGTTGCTTAAAAAGTGAATTGGCGTTCTTTCAGTCTATATCGCGAGTATTCCTATCCACTTACTTTGTCAAATGAAGGCGAACCCTCCCGAAGTCGAATTCGAAGGGACCATATCGAAGTTTAGAAAGAGAAAGAAAATTTTGTTTACATTTTCCATAAGTGATAAAACGCGAAATTAGGCATTTTTGCGTCATGGTCGTGCAAAAACGGCAAAAAAAGTACAAAAAGGTGTGATGCTGATGCAAAGTTGTTTTGATTGTTTTTTGTTTTGTTTTGTTTTGTTTTTTTTTTTGTTTTTTTTCACGTTCTCGTTGGCGTCGTGTCGTTAAAGTTCCTACTGTTTCGCCTTGACCAAGGCGAACCAAAGTGTTTATATGGAGAAAGGCTGGCCCGTCCAGGAGGGTGACTACCATCACAAAAGGACGAACCGGCTTGGCGGGTCACCCATCTAACCGAGCGAACGTTTTGTTTCTCATGCGTACGGTTCGCCATTTTTAAAGTAAATGTATGAAAAGTTAACTCGCCCTGGGTGGCTCGGGTAGGCGGGTGACCCTTGCACCCAGGACAACTTTTGTACATGCAAACAGAGCCTTGGGAGCTTGGCCGGTATCCGGACCACCCTAGATTAAAAATCTAGACTCCTTGCTTAGTGAGAACGTTTATTTATTGAATTTATTTACATTTTTATGTTTTATGGCGAAGTACATATAGTGGAGAGTAAAGCGAAAAATTGATGCGTAACATCTCGTTGTCTTTCATTGCATTCCCAGTAACAGTAGGGAATATCTTGCCAGCCCTCGAGCAGAAGATATTCTAACTCACGCACTCTATAAACATGTATATGTTGTGGTTCAATTTTATCCTTGGTTTAATTTTTATTTTCTGTTGTTTTTGGGTATAGTAATGTATGATTATCATAATGAGTTTAAAACAAAAGAAAATAAAAATTAAATCAAGGATAAAACTGAACCACGACATATACAAATTTACGAACCTTTCGATCTGAAAGCGTCATGCGAACTTCAGAGAAGCAATCAGAAATTTTTATATTCTTCGTTTTCAAGTGTATCGTTTGAGAAAGGCAATCAGTAACTATCGAAACGTTGCAGGAGGAGTAAATTTTCCTTTAGTCGAATTCGGTGATGATGAGTTTGCTTTTGGGTCAATTAACAGCAAGCGGTAACTTACAGCATTTTCTCTGAAGACCTACTTTTCGGTGATCGCTTTAGCTCGGGAATTTTGTGCCTTTGCGATGAGTTCCGAAGTTTTGATAATACCCTTACTAACCCCAACACCGATTAAGCTACCAAAGAAACCCCCAACTATGGCCCCTACGACGGGTACTGGTATGAGCACCTGCCCTACAATGGTCCCAGTAGTGCCTCCTATAAATTGACAGCCTGAATCACAGAGCTTTCTCCTCACAGTAGATTTAAACTGCGAGTTAGTAATCAAGCCTTTATCGCGCTGTAACTTTGCCCTTGTAACACTGCCCGCGGTTATCGCAATGTCAACTAGCACTGATATAGCAATACCAGCAGCTGCTTGTCCCAAAGCCATTGCCGCTGTTTCTATGCCAACTGTCGCCGTGCTTTCCGCCGCCGTGGACGTCACCACGGTTGCGGTCTCAATGATCACCTCTTTCACTGTGATCGCGCTTTCGGGTGAATCACCGCTGACCATGATAGCGTTGGCGCTGATGTTAAGAATCTCGTCAACAGCTCGGAAAATTGCCTCGATTTTCTGTTGTCGCTTTTCAACGGAGAATGGAATGTGTAGAAACGCCACCTCGAATATATCATCGAGGTAGCCATCGACCAGGTCATCTTCCATATCTAACGTTATAACCAGTCTTGGAAATTTGTTCGCCATAACCCACACAATCAGATTCCTTTCCTTGCCAGAAACCGGAAGCTCAATGCTTAAGTTTGACAATAAAAACGCCACGTCTAATGGAAAACTTATCACTATCTGATTGTCATCTTCATAAGTGTTTGAGACCTCCCCCTCTCGTTCGTTTTCGCAGGTTTGTAACCAGATAAAAAGCGGATAGTGTGGCCCGTAATTATGGTTCAACGAAAATAAGTTCGACGCGCATCGTAAAATATGGTTGAAAATCAAGGTCAAAGATATTGATCTTTGAACGCGGATTATTTCAGGAAATCCTCGGCAAAGATTTGCGGAAAAAACATAGTTCGATCGAGTGATTTCGGGTTTTTCTTCTCCACAATAAACATCTGCATAGTTTAGCTCAGTAGAGTTGTTACACCGGCGAATGGATCTTTGAGTCACGTATTCATTCCACGTTTTGTTTTCATAGACCAAAACACATCGCCTGCACAATCTAACGACTGAAAATCTGTCTTCGTGTTCAGATTGAGCTTCACCAAGAGTGTCCACAGAATCAGCGGGTTTTGTATCCCGCGGTAATGTTAAATCGTCCTTTTTCCTCTTCAAGAATGCAATCACAGAGCTGACTGCTTTCTTCATAAGAAAGGCGTCCTGTTATTGCGTCGTTTACTCGAGCGAGTTGCGATTGTTGTGCATATTGTTATGCAGAACAGGCCACTATAAGCACCTGCCTCGTCACATTTCCCACTGAATTTTGGGAAATTCCATTGTTGCAAGAGTCATTATTACACGCGTATCAGAAAATTCAGCCTTGTTACAATTACACAAGCAAAAGGAGAAAAACCATTAGCGCACAGGGAAATTTGTTTTGCTTTTGTATAGATTTCACGATAAGGACCACATTTAAAATTAACGAAGCTTGTTGATCACTAGCAAAGGATTTGTTTGAAAATGAATTTTTCATAACTTGACGAGGAAAACGAAGTCTTGCGACGTGCGGGACGAATATATTAAGGCTAGTTTAACACGCTTCGTGCTGTGACATAAATTGCCTAGAATGGAAAGAAAACGCAAAAGCATTCCCCATACGAAAGTGATTTAGTAAATATTCCATTCTCTTCTCTAAATCTGCGATGTAAACTTGAAGTTACCCACAAATATTTTTTTCTATTCAATCTTGCGGTGTTTCAAATTAATTTTTTAAGAAGATTGGAAAAAAAACTATCTGGTTAGAATTTTATTTCTTATTTGTTTCCAAGTCGTCTGTAAAATGCGGTGATCACCAGAGTTCAATGAAATCAAAGTCGGAATCCTCTTAGTTAATATGTTTTCGACCTTTTAAATTTATCAACCATCAACATAATAAATTTCTTGGACTGAAGTGACCGAAACTTTTCAATTCAATCGTTTTTCGGTTTACTTGGCAAACTGAAAGATTCTACCTTTGAAGAAATGAATTTGCCACGGTGTTTTAATGACATACTTTTTAAAGTAATCGACTCAGCCTCATAATTTTGTTCAGATCGAATGAATTTCATTTGCAAAATCATTCAACTATCTTAATTGCAGAAGCTACCAGGAATTAAAAAGGAAAACAACTCTGCCTGTTCTTTGCAGCTTCATAAATTTTAGCGGCTGGTCTAGAGTACATGCTCATTACTGAAGTGAACTTTCAGAGTCGCGATGTTTCAGTAATATTTTCGCGACCCCTTTAATAATTTGAATCAGCGGTCTACCTGAATATCAGCAGTGATCGAAATTGAATTTAGACAAGATTGTTTATCTCCTGCATAAAAGATAACAAAGGCCAAATCAGATATGTACGTAAAGAAAAGAATTCAAATTACGTCAAGAAAATTTAAAGGATATTAACGAAGATTATGACTAAAAGGAAGAATTGAAGATATGTCATGTTTATCAATAAACAGATCTAACTCTTAAAGTTGGCCGACGAAACCTCTCTACTCCAACGTAATCAATGTAACCAAACGTTCTTTCTTTAATATATAATCGACGAATTAGCCCTCAACTCAGCGCAGAATTCTTCCTTTCCTTTTACTTAAAATAATAGGTTACATATATGTGGACAATTGGATGTCAAGAGAATTGAAATCAAGAATTAACCGCCGTGCCATTTCCATAACATAACAACAAACGTTTTTGCCGATCATTTCTAGTACGTTTCACTCAGGATAAGTGAAAAGACGCTTGCAGCTAAAATCTCCTCGTTAAGAAAAAGAAACCACTTTGCCCTGTGGGGATCTAATCTGGGAGACAGCCTCCATTTGCATTGTTCTCGTTTGTTGAATTAAACAAATTTCGTATTTCCAGTTTTTCTTTGGCTCGCTTTCCTTGCTTCCACGAATTATATTTTCAAGATCATGAAACAATCTATACAAGTCATAAATTGTTGCTCTTTTATAATTGTATTCTCCTTTGGGTAAATACAGTACCTTTTCATCACATTTCTTCAAGGAGTAAATCCTATTCCAGAGTAGGAATACAACTACTCAGAAACATATGGACTTCTCCGTAAAATAAATAAAATTTAGCCTTGTACGTCACTCATACAACCTACGGATGAAAAATCCGTTCCCTTATTGTCTTTGCTGCAAACAAAAATAAACCGACGAATCTTCAAGCCGATAGCAAGATTAAAAGGTACCTCTATGTGTACTTGGAATTTTTTTACTTAATTAATTATTCAGTACCACACATTTTTCCGATTATATATTAAGTTACTTGGAACATCTTTTAAACATTACGCATATATATTTTATGTAAGCATGTTGTGTTTTTAACTTAAAATGAAATTGTGATCAAATTGACAATGATGAGTCGGCCAAGAATTCAAACACAAATGTGAATAAACTACATAAATTTGTGAAACTCTCTGGTGCCAATCAGTTTCCCTTCGTTTGTTTTCTTTTCTAGTTCTTTAACGCTAGCTGCACTGCTTGATATGTTCAGCTGGAAAGGAAGATTATTAAAGTACTATTTTATGGAAAAATAAAAGCTATTAAATAATTAACTACTAAAATGTAAGGGAGAGCCCTCCATAATCGAGAGTATAATTATTTTTGTATTTGGCCTTCATCACTCGAGTAAATTGAGACAGCTGAGACAATTTTGGATTTTCGATTCCACAGTCCCCAAAGTGACTCCGGATTTTTTTTTTTTTAAATCTCACACAAATAAAACTCATTTCCGTTCGTTAGCGGGATTCCGGATTCCTTGAGCTTAATTCTGGATTCCAAGCTCAGGATTCCTGATTCCACGAGCAAAATTTCCCGCAATCCGGATTTCCTTACCTGAAGCGAATCTTTTAATAATCTTTTAAAATATTTTGTGAGCTAGAAATACGTGTCTCGCAAACACTAGTAAAACTCGGAATGCCCGCACTTAAAATAGATGGATACAAATCGGCGAACATATTCTTCTCATTATCGGCTCCTGATTTTTTTAGAGACGCACGTTCCGAATAAAAGGTACAACTAATAAGGAGTGATACATCTCAGTTGCCTCAGTGGTTCCTGGAACGTGGTAAAGACTGTTTTATCGATGGCCTAATCATTAGTGATAGTAAAACAAAATAACCAAAATAATTCATTTTTCCCGACGATATCATCGGTCTTCAATTGGAGGTCTAAATAGGTTTACTGTTAGATTTTTTTGGGCATTTTTATTAACTAAATATAAATGTCACTGATCGCCACAATAATATAAACAAGTAGACAGCAAACTCCTTGCTCAAAAATTGACTATCAAAGTGCAAATTTTAACAGAAGTACACGAGTGAAAAATTATTCCGTGTTTTAAAGATAGCTTTGAGACTAAAACTTTAAAACAGTTTCCTTTTTTGGCTTTTTCTCACTCCAAATTAATGTTACTTAAGACATCCCCATCTAGTCCCTTTCAAGTCAATGCAGTTTTTTTCCTTGATCTGAGTTCCTAGACATCCGGGTGTGCTGCCAACCGCTGTCAACAGTCAATTAAAGAAAAGGCGCATGTAACTTGTGCCATTCAGCAATAGGTTTGTGTGGAGACAGAACGACCGCTGTCCAGTGCTTCACTTCCGTCTGCAAAGGCGCGTCCATCGCAAGTCTCACTTGTCCAACAAGCTCGTAACCGCGAATGAAGTCATGTTGGTACACGGTGAATTGAACACCGAAGTTGTCCAGTGTGAAAGAACTGTTCGTGGCAACCTCAAAGCTGAATTCTTCGTTTATAGTCTGGGTCTTCCTTTTGGCTTTGACTTGACGTTGTTGGAGAATTTCATTCTTATATGTAAGTTCCACGGTGATAGAGGGACCTTGAAAAGTAAGAGAGATCTGAATAGGTTAATCAGAGGGATAACCGTTAGAAGCTTTATCTTTTCGTGGTTGTAAGGAAAGCAAGCAACCTATTTCTTTTGAGCTTTCGTTTGACAAGGGTTACACGTCAAATCATGGTATAATAGAAGTGCAGCCATTAAATATCCACAGCGATAGAGCCGGGCGATTGCCCGTATGACCAAGAAATGTGCAGCAGTAACAGAGGGAGAGAATGTTATTAATAAAGTTCTCATTTAAATGATTAAAAAATTTTACAGCGAATCGGTTTGTACGAGCCATGTGCCAAAACAACTCCGCCTAGAAAGGGAGAAATACTTGAAGACTAGGAATGTTAGTAGCATTGGTGGTATTAAACCAAAGCTTTGGGAGTGCAGGCGAGCACGTGAAAACGCTCCTGCTCCAACGCTTTGCTTTTCGTAAGTTTCACTTAATAGAGGCTCCAAACGCGCGAGATCAGATTGCGTTCTATGTATTCCATTAGTTCTTAGTGGAATTCCGCGAATGCGGTTGTGAAGCGAATGCGGGCTACATACATGCCGCGCATGCGTAATAGCAACGTGAAGATTAGGACTGCGAGCTGCTCTGGTCGCCCTCAATAATTTAAATTGAAGGGTGTAAGACGTGGCAAGTTATTTACTTTTTACAGATTTTGGAAGATCCTTAAGCTTCGTAATGAAGACCTTAATGTGCGACGAGGTGGCCTCGTGACAAACAGTTACCATCAGTTCTCCGGCGCACTGAAAGCAAAAAGAAAAATGCATCAATTTATTTAGAAAGGTTCATGGATCGTACTTCAAGATTACTGACTAGCATGTTGAGAAAGTGGAATCACAATGTCGCTCCCTGAATTCATTAACGTCTGGACTTGGCTAGTGTAGAATGAAAACTCCTTTAATAAAAGTTTAAAAAAAAATCTTTGAAATTTTGAAGACAATCACTTTGCTGGTGAAGACTGTGTGAGATAATGGAAAGCGTCTTTGCATTTTAAATCAAAGATACCTTATGAAAAGAACTTTTTATACAATTTATCTTTTGATGAAGACCAGACATTGCAATGTTCGTTGAGCTATAAGTATAGTCTCTTATAACATGTGAAGAAAAATATTCATCACACATTAAAAATATGAAAAAAAAACTGTGATCCCGTCCGCTTACAAAGCTGTGACACCTCTCAAGAATTCAAGAAATAGGAATTTTTTTCTCAGCTGATTTAAGTAGATTGCCGTCTAAAACATTTTTTTAGCGTCAGATAAATCGTTGTTGCTTAAACGTATTCCACCCAAAGTTTATTTCCGTAGGCATGTT